TTAATTTTAATATTATTATTACATAAATAAATTTAATTAAATAATTAATAAATTAAATATTAACTTTTACCCTTTCAATAGATTAAAAAAACTCATAAATATATATTCTATCATATATCAAAACGTACTCTTGATTTCCATTACCTATTTTCCAAAAAAAAAAAAAAAAGTTAGTCTTGATTGATTGATTGCTTGATTAATTAATTAACAAAACCTTGATATGTTTGTGAAGCATCATTGATAATATAAAACCTTGGTTTCTATTTATAATCTTTTGTTCGCACTTTTGGTTAGAGTATGTATCGAATTAATTACATATTAATTAGACTGGCTGGTATAACATTGTTTTACACTGAAAACTCAAATTATATATACACTAAGATCTTCTTCCTTTTTCCAGGAACAAGACAGTGGACTTCAACTGTTGCACCTCCTTCTTGCTTGTGCGGAAGCAGTGTCGAAAGAGGACGACTACATGTTAGCAAGAAAATACCTACATCACCTGAACAGAGTAGTTTCTCCTCTTGGCAATCCCATGCAAAGAGTCGCCTCTTGCTTCACCGAAGCCCTAAGCGCGCGCCCAGCCGCAACCCTAACTGCGAAACCAACCGCCTTAACTTCAAAACCTACCCTTCAATCCTTTCCCACCAAACTCCTTAGAAATCCTCAAAATCTATCAAATCGTTTTCCAAGTCTGTCCCTACATATATTTCGCTCATTTCACTGCCAATCAAGCCATTTTTGAGGCCTTCGAAGCTGAGGAACGCGTTCATGTCATTGACCTGGATATCCTCCAGGGCTACCAGTGGCCAGCCTTCATGCAAGCCCTGGCTGCTCGGCCCGGTGGATCCCCGTTTCTCTGCATAATCGGTGAACAACTCAAGGACAGCAAAGCCCACATGTTCAACTGCCGGGTGGGTGAGGCTTTGGCGGTCAACGCCGTCAGCTGCCTCCACCGTGTTCCCGGAAACTGCCTAGGGAACGTCTTGGCCATGATCCGTGACCAAGCAGTAAACATCGTAACCCTAGTGGAAAAAGAAGCCAGTCATAACGGACCATACCTTCTTAGGCAGGTTCCTGGAGCCATTGCATTATTATTCAGCGATTTTTATTTCATTAGATGCAACTTTTCCTCCAGAATCTGCACAGAGGGCGAAAGTGGAGCAGTACATATTTGCACCGGAGATGAAGAACATTGTGGCGTATGAGGGACCAGAGAGGATAGAGAGGCATGAGAGGCTGGACAAGTGGAGGAAGAGAAAGGATTCAAGGGGGTGCCCCTGAGTGCTAATGCAGTCACCCAATCCAAGTTATTGCTGGGGCTGTATTCGTGCGATGGGTACAGATTAACGGAAGATAATGGTTGCTTGCTAGCTGTTGGGGTGGCGAGATAGGGACATTCTTGCTGCTTCTGTGTGGAGTTGCTGAACCTCATCATCAACACTTGTCCATCTTTGTGCTGGAATTAATTTTAGATGCATGTGTTTGTATAGGTGTTATTCTTAATTTCCTGGTGTTTTTTATTAATGTTGGGAATGTACGTATTCGTGCGATGGGTATCAGATAAATAAACGGAAATATAATGGTTTCGTTGCTTGCTCTTGGGTGGCAAAGGTAGAGTACTCTTTGCTTCTTCTGCATGGCGATGCTCGAGCTCAAGGCTTTTCGATCTTTTTGATGGAATTATGTAAATGTTTTATTTTATTAATTTCTTGACTTTTATTATTATTATTACTATTATTATAGAATCTCATTATTGTTTTGTTTACTGATGCCATGCAAAAGAGGTGGATATAAATGCCCAAAGAAAAGCATAAAGGTGTAAAAAAACTAAAAAAAGAGGTTAGACTTAAGATTTGGGTCAATATCAGCCGATGAAATTAAGAATTGGGTCAATTTCAGCTAATTTATATTTAATAGTATGTTATTCATACTCACACTTTCTGTTGAATAATGGGGAAGGGATCATTGTTTGATTTGAATATTCCCGGAACCATAGAATTATAGGATCTCACCTGTAGTCAGTAGTCGTGTACCCATTTGCTGATTGATATCCTAACTTTTTTTGGAACAGTGGTTGATATCCTAACTATTATGAAACAATAATACATAAACCAAACGGCTTGATGATCACGTGTCTCATTGAGATTAGTGAATTGTTCACCTGATCTGAAAATTGAATCTTCAATTGTTAACATCTAACAATATTAATTTACTAACCATTACCCTTATAAAAAAAAAAAAACATAAATACAATATTATATAAAATTATAACTTTATAATTATAATATAATATTAAATAAAAATAATATAATATAAAATGAGTATTGAATATATTTATATTATAAATAAATCTCTAATTATAAAAATTAATTATATAAATATATATTATATTATATTATATAAATTTATGTTGTAAACTTATAATACCCCACCAAAGTCTTATGATTATCATCCGAAACCAGATTTCCCTTTATTACCTTCCACGGATACAAATATCTATACAATCCAGATTGCATCACATTGGCAAATTATACAACATAAACCATCAGAATGCAGAGAGTGCCCCTCAATCTGATGATCCTTGCTGACCACTACCAATATAATTGTCCCGAACGCATCATGCCTTTTGCCTAGGAAAAATGATTTTAAATGTCAATGGACAATTAATGGGATGGAAGAGTATACTGAACTCATAAACCTTATATTAAAATAGAGTAAAAAAAATGATTAAAAAATTAGAAAAAAGGTTGCTTTTAAATACAAATTAACACGCATTTTGTATAAGGTAAATATATCACCACCGGCATGCACTGTTACCCCTGGAGGTCCGATGAACCTGAAGGGTAATGATGGCCAGCACTGTTCTATGAATCATTCTGTCCTACCAGCAGCTCCAGACAGTCCGTCAAACCAAGGCTACTGCACCTGCTTGACTCTGAATCAAGGATCAAAAAACTCCTATAATATCGCACATGAACAGAAATTTTTCCTGGGGAGTTCATTCACCTTTTTTTCTGGTAAGATAACATAAAACCAGCTTCAGATTTACCATAACAGAACTCTTTAACCCCTCCCTTTTTTTTTTTTTTCCGGTTTCAATCAGCAACTCTAGAACATTATTAATCAATCACCAACTTCAAAGTTAGCATTCTAGAACAATTAGCATAAAATTACCTGTTTTTACTTTCACTAAAGTTGGCTGCACCACAACATGCATGGTGATTACCCCATTTGGTAGCTCACCAGATGGTACAGTGCACTGACCAACTGTCTTGTTGTTCTCCAAGATTTTCCCAGCACTTATAAGTTTGATATCATTGGCTGACTTGGGTGCAATTTTTTTGTCTAAGACAAATCCAATTATTTAGATCCAGTGTCAGCAGAAACAAGACAAAGAGCAATTAAGAAAATGATAAGTATCAAGAAAAATATAAAAATAGATATTGCCATATATGCCATACATGTTCTCTATCTTGGTAGAGTATGACACTTGAAACCCATATACCTGAATGCAGCAAATCAGAAAAGATAAAGGAAAATGATGGACCAAGAACTGAAGCATAATGAATTTCAACAAGGGGAAAAATGAAAATAAGAAAAATACCCCATAAATAAAAGGAAAAATATCATATGGTTATCAAATCTTAGAACCAGAACATATGTGGTCTTATGTTTTCTAGCATACCACCTACTTTCTAATCCATGGGAAGGAAAACACTTAGAACACAGTCATTTCAGTAAAAAAGAACTTGGCTAACCCAAATTGTTGCCATTTGCCATTGTAGTCAAAGAACAAAACTATGATGTTTAGATAATAAGTATTGTATCTCAGATACTGTGATGTAGTTGCAGATTTCATGATTCGCATTTCAACTCTTGTGAAAGGAAAAATGAATTTAACAGCTAACATAAAGAAATAATAGTAAGCATCGTAGTTTATTTGCCAATGTGGAAAGAAAGGTTTTTATTTCTTAAGCTTGATAGGATTTTGGTTGATGCTTGTGTCTACTCCTTAGATGAAGATTATGAAACAATCAACTGATATTGACAAAAGAAAAATTAGTCTAGGCAAATCATATCGTAGGAAGGAGGACCAGTCCAGCTTGTTATGAAAAGTTTTAAAATATAACCATCTAGAACCAAAGGCTCTTTAAGCAATAGATCTCCAAATCAAGCCCAAAAGGCTCTGCTGCCATAGCCAGGCAAAGAAAGAAGCCAGGGGCATGATCCTGGAAGCAGAGGATTGAATCGCACGTTAGACTGGTAGTTCATAGTTGAAACCAAACAATTCTCTGGCTGAAACTCAAGACAATGCCTGCCTGACTTAAAAATTTAACACACAAAGAGAACTAGGTTGACAAGTATTAATAAATTGCTCCTTAAAACTGATCTTAAATAAAATTGTATTCAGGTTTGAACCATCCAGTAAATTGGTCTAAACAGTAGATGCCGAGCTAGCCCAAACAGAATTGCAGTTGTAGCTTAAATTCAAATTATAATTCAACCAGCAAATAACAACATCTACATCAAACCACTGCTTGGTCACCTGGTTACCACTTCCATCAGACCCTGTTACATAACATAGATGATGGATCAATCAACACAAATAGTATATTTTCATAAATACTAAAAGAAAAGATAATTAAAATTTGTTAAAACAAAAGATATGAAACTTGAAATTTCAAGAGCACATTTCATTTGAATGACCAAATGAGACAGGAAACGATTTTACATTATAAAACAGTTTGTTATTGCGAAACAAATCCGTCCAAGCAAACAGATGAAATTACAAAATACATATTAGTAAAGTTAACCTCAGCTAACAAATATATAAAAAATAATAATAACAACATGCAGTTCTGCAGGCATCAAAGAAACTCACGGAATTATCTATATAGATTAATTATGATTAACTTTTACATTTTCAACAAAGTTTCATCATAACTTGTGAATTAAGAATTTCACACACAGATATTGATTGAAGACAAAGTTGAAAACTCCTGACCTTTGGGCCAATCGGATGCTATTCTCTCCTTGAGCATAGCCACAGCTGAGGTTGGTGAACACCGAAATGGACCAATATCTGATCCGTCATACAGCCGGAACTTAACTTCTACCAGGTCCTCCTCTGGCATTTGAACTCCTCCACCAATGCAGTGTTCGATTCGCCACAGAAAAAATCTGTAACTGCGAAAACAACAGGAGGCCACAATCAATCAAACAAGTCAAAATCCCAGTTTGAAAACACAGGAAAGATGAAGAGGCTTAAAATCATCAATAGGAGCCGATTCGACACATGCCTCAGTCATTTCCAGGACTGAATTCTCAAAAGACTTGAAAATGAAAAGCACGAACAGATTCAGAAATGGAGGATACCTCTATGAAGGGGAATCGGGAGCGTGTTTTAGGGCTTTGAAGAAGAAAGAGGCGCAAAGATTGAAGTGCGGTAGATTTTGGTTAAATCTTGAAACTATGCTGGATTTGAATTTGGATTGGACACGATTTGATATTTCGGTGCTACCGTGTAAGTTT